ATATATAATATGCAGCCACATATAGTGTCTGTTAAATACATTTAATTATTTCCCTAACTGACTTTTTTTCCTGGTAGATGGGCTTGCCACTTTCAAAAGTTTCTTGAAGTCTGAATTCAGTGAAGAAAATCTTGAGTTTTGGATTGCCTGTGAGGACTACAAGAAGATCAAGTCCCCTGCCAAGATGGCTGAGAAAGCAAAGGAAATTTATGAAGAATTCATCCAATCAGAGGCTCCTAAAGAGGTTGGTCTTGAGGGGCAAGAGGGGAGTGTTGTCGGGTAGGGTCAGGTGAACAACTTATTGGCAAGGATTTAGACCTGAGATACAAGGTCAGCCTGTGGAGATAACGGGCTACTTCTGATGTGAGTAAGCCACCTAGTCCGGCACATCCTGAGTTCTAGGGCAGAGCAGTGTGATCAGGTGGCTGGGATTTGTTGTGTGTAGTACTTTGTAAGTGTGAGCCTCTCGGTCTTTTTTCAGTAGTGTGTGATCTCACTTTTTGAAGTACTTCTAGAAGTGACTATCATTAAATTATAATAAAATAAAAATAATGAGTTCTGCTCAAATGTCATCCAGTGGAAGGTGGGCTTGTGAAAAAAACATTATGACATATCTCCCCCACACTTTATTCACTGAATCTGGCACCATGTGACTTCTGGCCCTTCCCAGAGTCAAAATGATCATGAAAGTCACAAATGTTTTAAATTGATTCAGAACATCAAAGCAGCTGCAAAGCCAGGAATAAAAGCACTCATGAGAGAACCTGCAGAACTGCTTCAGAAAGTAGCAAATGTGATGGGACACATGTTTGAATGGGGGGACAGTAGGAGGGGGATTAATTGCGATGTGCTTTTTATTGTTAACACATTTTAAAAATTTAAACATTCACTGCATCTTTCAGTCATGCCATATTAGTCTTTTCCTGTAAAACTAAAGATCATTCTTTGGGCTGTTGTTGGAATTATACAAGATGTGCCAGTGTTGGATACCGGTGGAGGGTCTGACTTGGTGGATGTCTGACTTTGGTTAGGTCTGAAACTGAGTTGTGCAGTTTGAAAGCAGCAGTTACCTTACCTCTTTGTCTATAGAGTAGACATTAGGACTTTACTCCCAACTTGTATTTTATTTCTGAGAAATTCTTCATCCCTTTCTATCCTTTATCAAATCCCAGAGTCTGTGCTGTTTCGGTTATTTTTTTTCTCTGGTGCACAGGTGAATATTGATTACTTCACTAAAGACATCACAATGAAGAACCTGGTGGAGCCTTCCTTAAGCAGTTTTGATGTAGCCCAGAAGAGGATCCACGCCCTGATGGAAAAGGATTCGCTGCCACGCTTTGTGCGCTCAGAATTTTATCAGGAGTTAGTCAAGTAAAAAATATGGCGAGGCTGTTAAGATCATCTTGGGAGTTATATCCTCCATGACCACACTGCATTTTTCCAATAACCTATATATCTTCACATTGGGTTGCTCAAAAATACTCAAACCTGGAAAATCACAAGAAGTATTGCATGTGCTATTTGCACACGTTGTTTTGGATATGGATCTGCTGTCCTTCCCAGTGCTTTCCTTGTCTTTTCTTTGTGTCTCATTCCTAATAAAGCTCTATCCAGCAATTCTTTCGGCCTCAGTCAGAATCAGAATTCTGCCTAAGAAAAAATTACATAAGAAGAAGATACGGCATCATCCAGTGTGGGTTTAGACAGACAATGATCACCACCTAAATAAGTCTAATAAAGAATATGGATGTGTAAGACCAATTTCAAAAGGGAGCTTAAGTGATCTAGTGTATTGCCTGGATCTTGTTCAAGGAGACCACCTCTTAATTACTTCTGAATCTGGTTAGAAAATACATTATTTAAAGATTGATCTTTCCCTTAAAGTATCTTGCCAGTTACAAATACTATAGAGATATAATAAATATAATATGTTTATACAAAAGCAACCTGAATACAACTCATGTTAATTCATAATTACCTCCTTCACTGTCTTCCCTGTAAACTTACCAAATTCTGTTTTAAATCTATGACTTAAAATCACCAGTGGACTATCTACAAATTTATCTGTGTCCCTAGGTTATAAGCCAAAAGTTTTAATTTCAAGTAACTGAAACCCTTGTGAGGATACAATTAGCTCAAAAATTTCTAGCTCCAGTCATATAAATTAGAACTGTTGCCATGCATGAGTGATTTCCCACCTCAATATCAAAAGGACAATACACTAAAAAAGAAAAACATTGTTAAATTTAAAATGGCTAATTACCAAGAAATAGATGCCCTCTATTTTTTGCAAAGATAATTTTCTTCAAAAATAAAATTATATTTAGAAAAATTAATGTGATTCTGTGAAGGCTCTCTATGTGAGACAGAATTTTCAAATACCCTGAATTTTGTAAAATATTGTGATTTTCTAGCAACCCATATTCCCACACTCTTGCTTCCTGCAATAGTAGCCTATAATTATAGTCAGAAGTTCAGATTTATATTCCTGACATGCCTCATACACAACTAATCTGTAGGTCGTGATACTTTCAGTAGGTTTAAACTAATTCTGTTTCATTATTACAAGTCCTGCTAGAATCTTTCTGTTATTTTTAATAAATTTAATTAAATAATGACTCACATAAGTTAGTAGTAAATTGAATGAAATTGAATCATGTATGAGGGTAGTAAGTTAAGGGAATTGAGTGCATTAATAAGCAAGAAAGTGGCTTTTAGAAGATTACTAAAACTCTGAAATGTTTAAGTAGAGGGTTACATCATTTAGTCATATAGTTTCTACTTTTTTGCTCCTTTTTATTTGCACACTTTTAGTATGTATGTAGCTCATTCAGTTATTTCCTAGCAGTATTGTAAGTGAAACAGTTATATTACTCTGTTCTTTGGTAAACACTGACTGTGTGGCTGGTTTTCTTTTTTTAAAAAAAGGATAACATGTCTGAATAGTCTGACATTTCACATTCTGAAAATAGTGTAGAGTGACTGGGTCTCCAACAACTGAAATTGGTATAAATTTCCTTCCTTCTCATCCATGTTGCCGACTTTCAAGAAACTCCTAGTGAGTCAGTCCACAACCAAGCGGGGTCAATATCGGAAACATAAAAAAGTTCTTGTCCCACATATTTGTTCAAGACTGACAGAAGCTCAGATCAAACATTTCAGGTTGTCCTTCAGCACTCTCTTTCTTAACACCTGTCTGCCAACAATCAGTCAGACAAGTGCCAGCCCTTGATTTTCTCATGCAGCTAGAAATGTTAGAAACCAAAGAGTCTAGGTGAGTTATTTCTTTCTTGAATGCTAAACATTTTGAGAAAAAAAGTAATTAAAATTTTAATGTTGTATTCATATTATTTGAAAGACAAAAGTGTTTTAAAGTACCCAAAGAATAAATTAGATATCAGAGATCTCATCCAGGAGTTGCTGTTAGAAAGCCTTCCAGTGACCTTATTCACCAACACATTGCATACCCCATGCATGTGGCTGGACTTGTCAGCACAGGGTGAGAAGGGCCTCAGCCTTGCATCAGCTGACCCAGGGGGCAAAGGGCATGAGAGGCACTGGAAGGGCCCTGTTGTAAAACCTGCAAAAAGATGGAAAGAAGTAATATCCTCCAGCTAAAAGGTAACATTATTTCCATATATCTATCTATATCTATAGAACTACATGTAATTTTACACTTAAAGTATTTTATATATATACACACACATATATTTGAAATTATTCTAACACGTAGAAATAAATTACATAAAAGTGATATAGTGTTTCTGCCAAAATGAGAAACCTATTGCCCTATTTTTTGTAAAACTTGTCAAAGATTTTTTAAAGGTACAGGGAGAAAAGCCCTGTGTAAGTGGTACTTTCCAAGGTTACACCAAAATTGTTTTTCTAGGTCTGTGAAATTAGAAACAGAGGGATGATCTTTATAGGGAAAAATGTATTACATCTATTTATTATCCCTTTTGCCATCTCCTCTTTCCTCTACTTTCCCTTTCCTGGGACAGTAGGAAATTTAATGCAAAAGCCTGTGGTACTCATATTTTCTTTCCCTGTGGAAATGGAACCAAAATTGTAAGTGGATTTGGAAGCAGGAATTGTGGTGGAACTACGTTGTGGTCAGTGGAAGTAGGAGAGTATGGACCTCGTTCTAGTATTAGCCCAGGGGATGCCAGTGACCTAAGAGTTTCTGCCTGGGTTTGATACAATTTGTGTTGGATCAGACAAAGATTTAAATCAGACCAGGATGAAGAGACACACTATTAACTGCAAAGTAAATTAAGAGGTTATGTCCCATATTTGTCTGTTTGTCCATGAGAACATCCCTCCATCCTTCACCTCTTCGTTTTTCTCCTCTTCCTGTAACATACACACAGAGAGAAGCCCTTTCTCTCTCTCTCTCTCTCTCTCTCTCTCTCTCTCTCTCTCTCTCTCTCTCTCTCTCTCTTTCTCTCTCTCTCTAGATAAGCTCCTTTTGAAAGGTAGAATTGAAGTATGTCAGTAACTCAGCTTACAAGTGAATAGAATCAAACATGAAAACATTTTGTTCCTCCCTACACAATATTCTGTGTATTACAGTTCTTTATAAACTATGTTCTAAGTAAATTTCAATGTTTAGTGCCTAAGGAGAACTCTGTGAAAATTTTGTTCTTATTTTCATTCCCTTCAATGCCATTGCTTTTACTTGGCTGATGTGTTCTCTGCACACAGCCCATTCAATAGGATAAAAATGATGTCCCCAAAAATAGTCAGCATCCAGAAGTTTCAACAAAAAATTGAGTATTAACAAATAAGTTGCTAAACTGATTAAACATTCTCTACTAGGGCTTTGCCAAACTGTCACACTATGAATTTAGTGGCTTGAGAATCACTGTTAAGTTTTACTTATACTTAAGAGAAATGACTTTTACTCCTAAAAGTGTTCCTTTTAGCGGGCTGTTTTCAGTTTCCCGGGAATTTAGCAGATTTGGAAGAGAATGGGCCATGAGAGAAAGGGGAAGAAAGCAGAGAGCATGGAAGTACCCAACCTATGAATTTCACCTTCTGACTAGAAACATTTCACAGCAGCTCATCTTGGTAGAAAATCAATCCACTTCTTGCTCTATCTTCTAGATTCTCAAGGAGGCCATTCTGGACTCAGAATGGAACTAGGTGAAAAATATCCTTTTACTATTATAGGGAATCTTAATTAGAAACAAGAATGAATATGGAAGATCTCCATTCTACTTTGTTTTGGCAGTGGCCAGAAAGAAGATAAGAAAACTCAGCTTCTAATACCCAAGCATCCAAACCCAGGGGCTAGCCAACCCTATGTGGGTTTGGGCATAAAGTCTTGATGTATCTCATGTGTCTTACCCAGATAGTTATTAGAGTCATCTAATTATCTAGTCTTTTCATTCTATTAGACAAGTGTGAATTTAACATTTGTTCAGTGTAAGGTTCTATAGTTAACCAGATAGTAACTGCCTCTGGTGTAAAACATAATTTTCACCAAATATATTCTGAGGAAAACCAGAGCATACGACATTGAAAGAAAGGCTTTCCTAGCATCAGGTAACCATCCTGGAACTGGAAAGTTCAGCTCTCCCACTAAGCAGAAATCTGTAACTTTGAATGGAAACTGAGAGCAGAGAGTGACAAGCAAAATAGACAGATAAGTCTTTGCAGCATTATCAACTCACAATTAAAAAAAACTCACAATTTAATAATAATTGTCTTTTATAGTAGATCATCTAGAAAATGACCTTATTCATACCCAGTTTAATAACTCTTGTTCTCTCACTTGAGATATTTTTTCTTTCCATCTTACCCATACTTTCCTTTCTCTTCTCCCTCTGTGAGAAGAAATATTTAAAACAGATTTAACCACACTGAATATAATAATGAATGCATTAAAGCATTTCACTTTCCATCTAGGAAATTATAGGCAAAACAAATGAGAAATGTGCTATTGGAGAAAATAAATCTGGATAATGTTTGATGTTTAGAAACCAAAGGTTTTTTTAAGTGTTGCAACTCACAAATCATTTTCGGAACACCCTGCCAAGAGAATTGAGTAGAAGGGAAATGTTTATTAAGATATTTTAAGCATTTATCCCATAAATTTTTAATTCCTGAATAACTTTGTTTATCTTCTGTTCTTTTGTATCCAAACCTCATAAACACCATGTAACTCACACTTTTTAATAAATTAAGCATCAAATATGTATCTGTAACCATAATCACATATATCATATTAAATACGTATCTAAGTAATATCTCATACGAGTCCTTCTTAAGTCTCAAGTATTCTTTCAGGAAACATCTCTCTTTTAAAAAGCCTTGTATTGAAGCCTCTGATCCAATAAGAGGAACCTTACTAATAAGAGCCCACTGTAATACTGCCTGACATGCAAGTCTCAGAAAAGGACATACAGAGTAGTTGATTTTCATATGCTATGGTGATTATTTTCCCTTGGGTAGAGTGAACAACACTTACTAGCCTGGTTGTCATCATCAGTAGGAGCAGACTGAACCCGGCAAAATTATTTGGACCCTGCAAAATTCGATGAATACACTAATTCATTTATTTTTCTTATATGATAGAAGATCTGAAGACCAGGTACCATTACAAGCAATTCAGTTTTGTGACCTGAAATTTAATACAGTACTGGGCTAGTTTAGGTCCTGTGTGAAGGTCATACAATGGGTGAGACTGCAACTAGAATCAAAAGGGAAGCTCATGTGCTAAAAATAAAAATCATATATAGGATCAGATTTATAGGCAGAAGCATTGAGAGAGAGAGAGAGAGAGAGAGAGAGAGAGAGAGAGAGAGAGAGAGATTAAAGATAGTCTCAGTCCTGCAGTATTGGCCTCTGACAAGTTTCATAGATCTTATTTCTTTTTTTAATCTTTTTTTTTTGGTGGCTGGCTCAGCCCACCCAGGGGTAGGGCTGGCATGGTATGTGGTGCTGGGATTGAACCTCGGTACCTGTGCACTTGCTGAAGCTTGCCTAAGCAGGCACTTTAGCCCGCTGAGCTATCTCACCAGCCCATAGATCTTATTTCTAGTTCCCGTGGGGCCTAGCTATATTGAATGTAGATGCAATGCCCCTGAATCATTTTCATACTGTGTACTCTCCTCTGTACCTTAATCATCTTGGATAAATGAGTTCCCACCAAGAAATATTATTAGAACAAAAATCACTGACAATTCTGTCTCCCTTATAAACAAGTAATATTCTCAAGGTCAGTGTGTGAATCAGTGACAAATGGAATTTAACATGACTGACTAGAGGAAGGTTTGCACTGAAGAGACTCAGAAAGGATACATTCAGAAAGAAAGTATTCGAAAACTGAGCAGGGCTTGCACACTGAAAGAGAAAATTAATAAGAAAGACAATATATGAAGATCAAACCAGACAGCTAAAAAAGGAAGCGACACCGCCACTGTAGGCCTGCCCATGCCTAATTTCTGCTTCCATGGGGCACAGCCATTTTAGTAAAGTAAAATGTCTGAGGAACCAGTCTAGCACTGCAGAAGCCAGATTCTTGAAACAGACTTTGCGTTCACCGCCTCTTGTCCCAGCCACACACATGCATGCAGCTCCACTTCCAAACACTGGGGAAAGGCGCGCTCTTGTCTCCTCTGCTCCAGTGCATATGTTGGGCCAAACCTGCCTGCCAGATTGCTAGCCAGTTCATTGGCATATCTGCACACAGTCTTCAGCTCTCCTCCAAATGGGCCATTGCTCAGAGTACCCACCAAGTCATAGGCAAGTGCACATAGGCAGGCACCAACTCTGGGGCCTGCAGGTCAGCCAAATTGTGGGCAGCATGTCCAGACAGCCTAGCATGAGTATTGCACGTTCTCTGGGCTCTTGGGTCACAGGAGCCAGCTGAGACCAGAGGCTGAGTCTGTTCCTGCCTTGCCTGCACCACACCACCCCAGTCACCAGATTATCCATCCATCTATGCAGAATACCAGTGGTCACCCACGATCAGTAAGACAAGAAGGTAATTGTGCTGTCTTGCGGACTGTTGGCACAGTGTTTAAGCAGGAACTGCCGCTGGTGCTCACCAAGAACTAGAGAACCACTCCCATACCCGGAGCAGAATAGCAGAGACCATGGACTCTAGCTCCTCCACCCACCCACCCACCCACCCACCCACCCACCCAGTGAATCTGTGAACCACTGAGAATGAAGACTCCTGAGTGGTTCTATGCCAAGCACTGCCATCTCCTGCAGTGTCCCCAGGTGCAGGAGAAAGCAATTGCAGACCTCTGAGGGTGCGTTTGGCAGTGTGCAAGAGTATACCTCTGACTCAGTGATCCTTGCTAGTGAACCTTCCTGGGTGCTGATTCCATACCACACCTGGTGAGGGGGAGGACAACATTCCCAACCCAAGAAGCGAGTCAGTGTCAGATGGCCCGCATGCCTGCAAGCTGCAACAGGAGGTCCTGAGAATGGGACAGCTTCAATTTTGCAGTCAGGTCAGAGGTGATTTTAGTATGGCTGCCAGAAATCATGCGCCAACAATGCAAGAAGGGAATGGTGTGTACTCCCAGGCTCTTTGGCAAAGAAGTTATGTGTGAGCCACACATGCATTCTCTTGTTGGAGTATTTAAACTGAGTTCCTGCAAGATATAGTCTGTGAAAATTATTCCTATAATCTTTTAAAGTCACAGAATCAGTGTTAGAATATTATGAGATTCAAGACGATTTAAATATAGATACTGTAACTTCAAGATAAAATTGATTAGAAGAGAGAAAAAAAATCACCACATACTAAATTGGGGATCAATCCAATTAGAAAAGATACCACTTATAAACATGCACTGAATACAAGAACACAAATTTACATAAAAATATACTGCTGAACATAAAATACTAAATAAATATTACAACAATAGCATAGCACATTTAATACCCCACTTTCACAGAGATAGACCATGTAAATTTAAAAATCAATAAAGAACGTAACAGTTGAAACATACCCTTGAATGTATGGATTTGATAGATATCTACAAGAGTAGTCCACCCTTCTACCAGAGACTGTGCATTCTTTTCTGCAGTACATGGTACTTTCTCCAAAATAAACCACATACTAATTCACAAAGACAACTTACATAAATATGAAATAATTGAAATCACCCCATGTTTACTGTCAAACCACTGTGCAACAAAAATAGAAATTAACCACAGAAAAAATCCTGGAAAATCTTGGAGCTCCTGGAAACTCAGTAATTCACCTCCAAACACTCTG